TGGGGAAGAGGGAGCACACCTCATCAACAAGGGTACCTGCACAATGAATATTTGTATACCTAACCCTGAACTGTACCCCACAATTTTAAAATAAAAAATTTAAAGGTGAAAAAAATCTTTATAACCCTCACAGTACCCAGTAATATGTTTACACAGTGAAACTACTCAATCAATTTTGGTTAAACAAATGAATAAACGCATCTGTTGGGTTTTCATTTCTAGTCTTAAGAAGAAGAGCTGCCAAATGAAAACTCACATTTTCTTTAATGGTAATGAGCATGTGCACTGTGAACTCTAGCAGAAGGTAATGGCAATTATGACTCCATCATATCTTAACAAAAAGCTAAGATGGGATCAAGCCCAGAAGAGTCTGGGCAGCACCCTGTAATCAAGCACACTATTTTCTCTGCAGCAAAGTACTCAAATATTCACACTCAATGAAATAAATAAAGGCAGAAATAGTCTCATGTTAATTAGTTCAGATCAGGTTTAGCTGTTTCTAAAACATTTTGATTGCAGAATTGTGGATAAGGACTGGGACTGGGTAGACCCCATCCACTGAGGGCCCACCATGCACTGGCTCCCGTGCCTCAGCCAGGTTGTGAAATGGTCACCAACTCCATACCACAGATGATAAAAGCCGAGACTCAGGATGTTTAAGAATCTCAATCCCAAGTCATATAGTCAATCAACTTGAGTTGGGCTTTGAACTCAAGGCTTTCTAACTCTAATATCTATTTGTTTATAGTGATAAAAACTCCAAATATGTGGAATCTGAAAAATGTTCAATGAAGCCCAGTGTCATTTCAACCTGTGAACACAAGATTCAAAGCCTACTGCAAATCTACAAATAGAAAACGTATTACAATCGTCAGTGGAGAGACGATCAGTGACAGGTAGGAGATAGGAGGTATGTCTCTCTTCTGGTAGAAAGATCTAACTTGGGTCTCAAAATACCATGGCAAGAGGAGTTAGAGCTTCTCAAAACAGGGACAGCCCTCAGTTCTCTATCTCTTATTGGGAATCCACACCAGTTGGGTACCCAGGAAGCTACTGCTTGTCCAATGATTGCTTCCCCAGTTGTGGTGTCATTCTATCCAGCCCCCATACTGATGTGCTTCATATTCTACAGGTATTTTAAGTTCCTGAGACAGAATGAGGTTCAACTCATGGACTTATTTTATGTGTTATTTACCACCTACCACCCAGAAAGCAACACCTTTCTTATCTGACAGGTTTCAGTGGCATCAATCACATCTTGAGGGTCTACAACCTAAAACATTTGAAATCTTGGAATCAGAGGTCAGAGAGTTAATTCTCAGAAAATCTTTGAGTCAAGAGTAATCCAGTACGTGCAGCAGGTTTACTGCCATATCGGGCCAGCTGGTTTCCTTTCCACACCAGCCTCCAGCACCCCCCACCCTCCGCTATTGTGCCCTTCCCCTTAACCCCTACCGCAGCTCTCTTGCATTCCCCTTCTCAACCTCCTTCCAGCCTCCTGGATTTTTCACTCTCAGCCTTTCGCTGTTCAAGATCTCACCTCCCCTCGTATTCATAACTCATGCCAGTCATTCCTTCATACACTTTAAGACTCTGGGTCACAACTCCTCTCACTCCAACTCAGCAGTCTGGAGTCCACAACTCAGGTCGAACCCCTGGAGTATGTTTTAGGACTTTTCTGTATTTCCTCAATATTTTTTTATTCCAAGTTTTAATTTTACAACGTTTTAATTTTTTAATTTTTAATTTTGACTTCTGTAATAACTTTCTTGCCCCAGAAAATGATTTTTTTTTTCTTAGTTCAGGTCTCACTCTGTCACCTGTGCTGGCGTACAATGGCACAATAATTGTTTAATACAAGCAAAGTTAACATAGGTGAAGTTTAACTTGAATGTCAAATAGACTTTTCTCTGCATCAGGGTCTTCGACAGAACAAAGTTTCCCCCAGTGCAGCTGCTCCTTGTTACAAAGCAGATCCTGTCTCAGTCCCAGGAGTCCTGTACACCTTTGACTCAGGCAAACTTAACTGATACTATCAGAACAAGCCACGCCCAGGTGTGGATAGAGTAGCTTGGTCAAGGCTCCTGGTGGTCATTTAGCACATGCTTGGGACAGGGTTATTCATTAACTGTGCTTGACAGTCTCGACTCTTCCCTTACTCCTTCCTGTTAAGGACCTTTGCTGCTAAAATATCCTGTTCATCTCTATCCAAATCTTTCATGCTACAGGCTTAACAGTTCAGAGCTCCATTAGAATGTCAAACAGCAGATAACTCACCCATCCCCAAATGACATAATAACCCTCCAGAGACTTGGCAGTCATCTGAGGGTCCCTTCCTGGCTGTGCATCTTTCTCTCTTCCACATAAACTCTTTCAATTTTTCTGACTGAATTATTCCTGTGCCTTTTGACTTCTGTAATAACTTTCCTACTCCAGAAAATGATTTTTTTTTTTTTTTGGAGTTCAGGTCTCACTATGCTGAGCAAAATGAATTTTTTTTTTTTTTTAGTTCAGACCTCACTATGCTGGAGTGCAAGGACAAAATCATGGCTCACTGAAGGCTCGACCTCCTGGGCTTAGGTGATCCTTCCTCCTCAGCCCCCAATAACTGGGACTACGTGTGCATGCCACCATGCCCAGCTAATTTTTAAAATTTTTTGTAAAGACAAGATCTCACTATGTTGCCCAGGCTA